TAGAATTTTTTTTCTGACTTAGCCTGAGCAGACTCCCAATAGGAAATGGGGCGACAGCCTAGGAATAGCAAAAAAACCCTGTATTTTAAGTTTAAGACCAGGCGGCTACCCAGTTAGAAAAACTTCACGAATTTTCCTTTCAACCATTTACTTAATTCTTTCTTCCATCTTGGTCCTCCACATCAAATTACTTCAACTTTTACCCAAATGCATATTAGTCCCTAAACTTCCATCAATTAGCCAATTGATCCTTCTTTCTTTTTCAATTGCTTAGAAACAGATACAAAATTAATATAAGATAAAATTAACCTAAGTTTAGTAAAATCTAATACTAAAATGACACAAAAGGTTAGTACTATGTCCTAACAAGTGCACAAAAATGCATTTATCAAACACATCCAAACTAAAACCTTTGTTCGTACTCGAACAATAAAAAAACACAACAAAATTTAAGAAATAAACCATATCACTAACCTCAACAAATCTCCAATAACAAATTCAACGTTAAACGGCTTACTATATGCCTGAGGTTAGAATTTAAATAACACTTTGGAAAGATCCAAACAATATCAAAAATAAATTTTTACTTATCCGATGCTCTACTTAGTGTGTGTGTGTGTGTGAGAGAGAGAGAGAGAGAGAGAGAGAGAGAGAGAGAGATTAGCCAATATTGAACTTACACACATAGTAGAACACAACCAATTAAGTGTCGTTGATTTAATCATAATACCAATCCTTGTGTGGTCAGATTTTCCTCACACATCTCGTGCAAAATCACTTCTTATGCTCTTCTCTCCAACCCCGATGTATTTTTTGCACAGATGAGTTCCTAATAATTATTAAATTGCATTTTTCCACACAAAGTGATCATAATTAGATACTTGTACACTTAGAAGAGAGATGGTAAGAATTTCTCAAAGTCACACCGCCAGTCTCTAGAGCTCAAATATAAAAGTCTTTACCGAGCACATCTGATTTTTGATAATCTAAATCCCTCTTTCCCTATGAATATATATTTTGGTATTTGCTCTCTTATTATTATTATTATTATTATTATTATTATTATTATTATTATTATTTGTTTTGATGTCTTTGCGCAAGACTTCTCTCCATTAAACTTTCTAAATGACTCCTGTAGTGAGTTTTAGGCCGATGACTTCGAAGTCAGATAACCATAGGACACCGGATTTTAAATACCCTACCAGGCTTGATAACTCTAGTTATAAAGATTACGAAGAGAAGTGTAAGATGTATCATATTTTCTTTTAATATAAGATTCAAATTTTAACATTGGTCAGTGCCAGCTCTAGACTCCTTAACCCAGACTCCTTCAACCAAAGATCTGATCCAAGAACCCCAAACCATCAAATTTCTATGAACACAAGCACTAACTTTCCTACCCCCAAACTGTTTTTTAGCTAAAAAACAAAGATAAACCTAATAAAGGAGTAAATGATTAGAAGCTCCTCGGGGGTATACGCGGATAGGTAGAAGGATCAGGCTGGTCCTGTTGGTAGATGTCATGACAACCACCACTTTTCTCTGTTGCTAGGCTTCAACTTTCTATTTCAAGAATTCAAAATAAATATTAATGTTAGCAAATAAGGTAAATATTTGTAATATATTCACACCAAGAAAAATTCTAATCTTCTAACATTAAGAAGATTGAAATCTAGGTGCAACCTTAAGAATGATTTCACATCAATGTAAGCTTAACGTAATGCTACCATGGTAACGATGTGACTAAATAAAATTAACTCAATAAGTAAACATGCCTAAGCTACCAATGCAACTCTTAAAGTACTGCCTAAAATGTATTAAAAACATTTGTAAATTAATGCAATCCCTAAAACTACTTGTAATGCAATAGTTAATCAAAATAAGGAAAAAAGGGATAGAAAAATGTGTTACCTTCCATTAAACGCTCGATTTATAATCTCAAGTTCGACTTTTACGCGAGTGTATATAACAACTTCAATTTGATTTTGTTCCATATTATAACTTTCCTCCAAATTTTAACATTTCTCTACTCCAAGTAATATGATTTCTCATCATCACTCATTTTGAATTCAACAATATACACATCAATCTCCTCATAAGTTTAATAACAAATTCAATTTTTGAGCAAATGAGAAAGTTGAGGGATTGCATGCTAATTTCCTGTTCTTTGAATGCTACTGATTCTTTTTCCCCCGTTATGATTAATTTCTCAATCTTTTCATGATCATCTTCTTTAATTGAAACTACTCGAGTTCAACGCTTGTATTCAAAACTTTTGGCAAAGAATCAATGACATCTTCATGAAACCTCTCCTCCTCTTGTTGTTTTTGTTGGAAGTCCGATGAATCTAATTCCCTTAATTAATGTCCATTAATAATCGATGGAAGAAATAATCCCATAGGCAAATCACCCACATCAAATTGTAGCGAGAGAAATAATGCAACAAGTCACCCAGGACAGTTTAATCAAGTTCACATTCTACTTTTATATCTCGTAATCATTGTCCTGTAATGAAATCTCCTACAAAAGCTATCAATTGTTCTTGCCTTATGATAAAGTCACATACGAGCATTTTGTTGAAATCAATCACAACCATCTTCTACCTTGTTATTTTGGATCTTTTTTTTTTTTTTTTGTATCTTGAAAAAAAGGGGAAAAAACACAAAACAAACTAAAATAGAAAAAAAAAATACAAGAATACAAGTAAAAGTTTGAATTAGTGCTACAATAAATGAAATTAAACTCAAATACAATCACCGACAATTGCGCCAAAACTTGTTCACGAAAATATATTTCGAATTAAAATCACCGCAAGTATACGGTTCGTTAACAAATAATAAAGTAAAATTTTGAGTCCAAGTATCGTCCCACAAAGATTGACTAATTCAATTTTAATTATCGCGACCTTAACCGAAACAACAATAATATGATGTGTTTGTTGTGACAAAATTATGAATAAATTAATCTACTTATGTAATTATGAGTAAATTAATTAAACTAAATACGAATTATACTAAATGCAAATTGATGTATTTAATAGATGACAAACGCACTAGAATTTTGAATTCACATGCAATAATCATTTTTAACATTGATTCTACACTTTTTGACAACACGATTGAATTTTGATGAATTAATGTTCTTATTTTATTTAACAATGTTAAACATACTCTCATATATGATCTGACTATATTTATATGACGGATGCGAACATACAAGAGTGCATGAACTTTTATGAATACTTAAAAATTCACATAGAACGTAGCGATATATTTATATACCCTTCGGATCCTGTGACAATTTATATATGTTGAACATATTTCACTTCTTTCGAATGCATAAAATGGGCCACCACATTCACACAACTGCCGTGCACAATAATTGTGGAGAACAAAAAATCATATAAATCATTCAATATCCAAAAACGTGTTTTTAATATCAAGTATGTAAAACTAAAGATTAAAAATTCATATCACACAGTTCATCGTTCTCCTATCACAAATAAATCTAGTCTAACAAGTCAATTTTAATCATCACTCAAATAATGTTTGATTTGAGCGAGTCTTGAAATCGATCTTTGCGTTTCTTGCCTCCTTTTATTCTCCCAAAATCTCTTAGAATGTGTTATAATGCATAGTAACTACTTTTGCACGGCTCTAGGTCTTTAAAGACGTCCCAATATTTATTTTCATAAGAGTTGAAATCATATAAGAAAATCAGAATGTTTTTCCCGACTAGCCTGGGCAGGCGTCCAATAAGAAATAGGGCAGTTGCCCAGTTATGAAAACTCCACGAATTTTCTTTTCAATCATTTTCTTTATTCTTTATTCCATCTTGGTCATCCACATCAAATTACTTCAACTTTTAGTACTTCAAGTTTTACTTGTATATTAATCCTCAAACTTTCATCCATTGACCAATTGATCCTTTCTTTTCCAATTGCTTAGAAACGGGTCCAAAACTGAAATAAGATAAAATTAACCTAAGTTTAGTAAAATCAAATACTAAAGCGACACAAAAATTTAGTAATATGGCCCTAATAAGTGTAAAAAAAATGCGCTTATCAACGTCCAAGTATGCAAATAACATACATGCGAATGGAAGAGGAGCTGAAATCTATTGATCACATACCCCGTTGAGTTTCAAGGTCAACATCCTCAACATCTTTAAATGAGAAACTAAAGGGACAAAAATATAACTCATTTTCCCCAAATATTTAGCATGTTCTCTTCTAAAAATTAAACTCTCAAAGCGTTGATCATGCCACATAAACAAAAAATAAAAATAAAATCATGTTGGATCCCTCGAAGCGCTACTCAAGACCGTGCCAAACCTCTTTCTTTGATGAATAATGTTATATGTACATCAATTATGACAACTTAGTTGACAATCTTCCTTATGTGACGGAAATCTATGCAATGATGTGATGGATAAATTCAAAATCAAAAGTGGATGTTGCTATGAGGAATACTGTAAAAATATGTAAAGGAGAGTACAAGTACAGTAAGATTGTCTTTTGACCGGCTAACTTTAGAACATCCTCCTAAAAATTACAGGTAATACCATTGATCGTAGCTACTAATAATCATTCACTCACCAATTTATGTGACAGTGGAACCAATGGTCCGATACCACATTATTCAATCTATAAAAAGACATTCTAGCTTTACCAGCAGCGTAGACTATCATTATTCTTCCTAGAGTCACGTCAAGCTAACCTGACCCGATCTCTAAAAAGTTTGAAGTAGCCAGAATCCATTTTAGCTCCATGATCTTATAACGTGCCAATCATAATAGCAACACAGCTTAAAACATCCTAATAACATACGAATTTTACATAAAAGTTAGTAACAAACTAATATTCACCAGTTATAGAAACTCAATTTCCAATCCATTCGCAAATCTTATGTCAAACATATAATAGACAAATCAATAGACCCCTACAATTATTTGGGAGCGTATATTTTTATTGACAGTACATAAAGCATGCCCAGGGATGCCTAACCGGTGTTCCTCATCCCAGCAGCAATGCCATTAATCGTGATAAGAAGTGCATCACGAAGTTTATTATTATCATCATCATGTCGTAACCTCTTCAAGATCTCAACCTGCAACATGTTCATTGGATTAAGATAAGGAAGCCTGCTCTCGATCAACCTCCGCAGGCTCCGGTTGTTCTCTGACAGCTTTTCATGCCCAGTAACTGACAATACGAATTCTTCTGCAGTCAAAAGCTCCCTCCTCAGCTCTACACCGAGCTGTTGTCGTTTCTCAGAGACTAAAACCTCATCATAATGTTTAGCTATAGGAATATCTGCTTTCCCGAGAACCATTTCTATGAGATCAATAGTGGATTGAAAGAAGGGCCATTCTTTGTACATTGCTCGTAAATCTTCAGTATGCCCCTTCTCACAAACACCCTTCAAGCCTGCTCCTACTCCAAGCCACGCAGGAAGAACAAATCTTGTTTGGGTCCATGCAAATATCCATGGAATTGCCCGTAGATGTCCAATTCCAACTGAACTCTTTCTTCTTGTTGGACGGCTTCCAATGTTGAGATAGCCAAGCTCGGCTTGTGGTGTAGCCTCCTGAAAGTAAGCAAGAAATTCAGGATTTTCATAAACTGTGCTCCGATAACTATTGCAACTAATTTTTGAAATATCGTCCATTAGATTGCGCCACTTTTGTTCTCTAGGGTGGATTGGAGGCCGTAAGGTAGCAAGCAGCACAGCTGTTGTGTAGATCTCTAGCTGCCGAACAGCTATCTGGGGTAGTCCAAACTTGGCCTGCACCATTTCACCTTGTTCAGTTGATCGCAGAGTACCCTGACGATTCAAGAAAACAACGAATGCCATTTTAAAGGCCAAGTTTAAAGTGGTGGCAGAATGAAGCAGTATCAGAGTAAATACGCTTGCATACAATCATCAAAGAAATGTAAAATAAATCATAATGTTTTCAGTAAAACAAATGGGGAAAGACATAAAGTAGACTGCAAATCACAGTCTCGTAGATCAAACTGTCAATGCCCTCAACCTTTTCTTTACAACTCCTTACAAAATGTTCGTGACTGTTCACGAGCAATTAGTTACCAGTTGAAATGCGAAACTCCGATTTCAATAAAACTCCTGGCAGTCTAAATTGAATTTGCATGGCAACCAAAATAAATAAATAAAATTGAAGTTATAGCACTCCTGTACTAGTTTAACATGTATTTACTCTTAACAACCCTGCTTGACGTTAGTAATAAGGACATAGTAGTCAATCTTCAAATTAAAAGTGAACTAGTAAATAAATAAAATAAGCAAAATTAGACTCGTAATATTTCAAACAACAAATCAACAAAAGGAGAAATTCAAATATAACTTGAAATTTATTAATATCCAGATAGATATGAAGGTTTCTTAATTAGTTTAATGATATCGCCAAATCAAAAAAAAATGCAAACACACTTAAACAAGTACGTGCAAATCAAAGTTTAGTAGTTAATTATTTATCCAAAGAATGAGAAAGAAAATTGAATTGGGTAACATCATAGATAGTAAGAGATTCCATCTTAGAAGTCAACGAGAAAAGCGTAAATTATTTATATGCCTCAATTATCTGGGAAATATAATATTTTAATGTGTATTTGATATGAAGAAAAAGAAAAGGATGAGAAGAATCAAAAATATAAATGAAATATGAAGAAACTAGTTTAGGAGGTGTTTGATGCACATTATTGATGGAAGAATGTATTTTAAAAAATGAAGCTAATTAATGAGAAATCACATGCATTATTACTATTATTAAGAGAATATGTACTTCTCTTCATTTTTCTGACGTCAAGAAAGCTTGAAGTGCTCTCTTTGAGAGTCATGGAGAAATACATGAGCTTTAGAGAGACAAAATTCCATGCCTGGCCTTACCTTTTATCATGGATGTAGCTAGGTCATGAATTTGACCAGCACAAAGTATTGTTGTTTCACCTATTGGTTCATGCGAATATAATGTGATAAAATCTTAACACAATGAACTGATGTAAAATACTAAAACGGACAGGAGAAACCATTTGTGCAATTTCTCAGACATGGACTAAAGTATACCACTTATTGCAAAGTGCAACATCAAAAGAACAAAAATTTAGACCAATCAACAAAAATTGACTAGGAGTTTCAAGGCCAGTTACAAACTTAAAACTAACCATAACTGAACCAGGCGGCTGTGATTGAATGGCAAGATATGTAGGACCACCACCTCGTCCAATACTCCCTCCACGTCCATGGAAGAGAGTAACTTTTATGCCATATTCATTGCATGCAGCCACAACATCTTCTTGAGCTTTATAAAGTTCCCATGCAGCAGTAAAGCGGCCAGCATCTTTGCCCGAGTCTGAATATCCAACCATCACCTGTTGACAACTAATGCTTAAAACTGGACTCGAGTTAAACAACTTAAAATATTGGGTTAACATAAAGTCATAAGTACTTCTTGGTGTCCATTATGGTTCTTTATAATGTGGTTCCGATACCAATCAATTGACAGCAGTTTCCTTATAGCTGATCCAGCTTCTCTCAAGTCCTTCACAGTTTCAAACAGAGGAACTACTCGCAGCCTATAAGAAATGTTTTTTTGGTGAGAGGTACATTTTATAGATGCTAAATGAAATGCATAAAAGTTTAAAAATAAGGCAACCTATAATAAGCTATTTCTCTTAAGCTATTAATTATTCCCTACATAACTGATTAAAAACAGAAGCAATCAATCATCTGCACATAGCTATCCTGACATAATATAAAGGAGAATCATTGCTTATAAAATTCCCTCATCTAACATCAAAAATCTTCGTTCAAATTATTTATTTATTATATGGAGAACCACATTATCAACATAATATGAAATCAGAAGCCCCAATGTAAAATACTTCAACGGAAGATGAATAAAAGCACACTACCTTTGCACAAAATTGCAGTGTTCTATCATATATTTAATGGTACAAAAATCTAGTTACGTAAATGCTGGAAAATTTCCTCTTTCTGGGAACAGAATATGTGAAATTAAATTATAGAATCTTTAAAAATCTACACTAGTTTCTTCTTTAACACCAATAGGAAATAAAAGACAGCTCAATCTTTTGAGTGTTGTAAATGACAAATATCACTTTCTTCAATGATAAAACCTAGTCAATGTTCTTCATTTTCCGTATCATATATGATGTCTGAAAGTCAACATAATACATGCAAATGAGGACATCAAATTATATGTTTTTTGTTGTTTGTAATTCAAACTGGAAGCTGTACAATTGCATATTCTACAGGTAACTAAGAAAGACAATCTTACGTTCCGCCAGGACAGGGTCTTCCTAGTTCTCCAGCAACAGCAAGGCGAGCATCTTTCTGTAAGAGTTCAACTGCAAGGACATCACTAGCCTGTTTTTATACAGGAAAGCAATGTCGTTGACACAAGAAAAAGGAAAAGGAAATCAAAAAATAAATCTCTTCGAAAATTTTAATATCACAATATCAATTATGGAGTTATAACAAGGGTATGCAGACAGCGGTATGTATTACTAGCCATACATTGGAGGCCATGGAAATCACATACGCTCCAAGTGAATCACTTCCCAATTCAGCCGCTACTCTGAAGGTGTTTAATACTTCTTTGACATCAGGAGAAACCTTAGGAGGGAAAATGTAGCATAATGTCACTAAGGACAGAAAATAAATGGTAATGTAGTAATATATGGTAATAGAAAGTTGTGACACCATCTATCCACAGATTGCCCACAATAGTAACTAGATGTAGGAACATCTCAGATTAATAGAATGCAGAAGCTTGCAAGATCCTAAGTGCTCAAAATAACTGTATGTTTGTTCCAAATCCAAGGCATATATGAATCTTTTTTCCTTTTTATTCTTTTAGATAAAACAATATGTGATAAATGGAAAAGAATGGGAATATGCTAAAGTCAGCAAAAATGGACTATTGAAATGTAAAATATAGAGAATATCAAACTGTATTGGTTAAATCACTTGACGGAAGTTTACTGATGCAGGACCGTATATTTGACGACAACAATTGAAGATTAAGACATGAAGGGGTGCAAAGAAAATAAGAATTGAGGGTAAAAGAAGTTATCAATTTATCCATATAATCAAGGGGTGTGAATTACATTGAATAAGTCCTCTATTATAGAACAAATAATATAAAAATAATAGAACTTCTAAAAGGGGCAGATCCAGGATCTTTTTTTTTCTTTTAACACGGTTAAAAAATAAAATAAAAATTTACACATAAAAATTGTTTTACAAATTTTATTTTATTTTTGTTTACACCTAGTGGGCTGGGGCTGGCTTGGGCTAAAGAATAAGCTAGAACATTATCAAATTATTAAAACTAACAAAAGGAAATGACCAGGAAAGGTGAGGATTCAAGTGTGAGTGGGGGTGGGGGTGCTGATAATGTCCGACGGAGAAGTTGGGGTAGTTCTAGGAGGCAGCCGGTTTCGGGAGGTAGAAGGTGTTGGGAAGGGTTAGGGTTTGTATATACTGGACTGGGTCGGTTGGGTAAATAGGTTTCAGGTTACAGGTCGATTATGGAATAATGGGCTGCGTATTTTTTATTTATTTATATGAACTGTTCAATGGATTAGCTGGGCTTGGGTGTAACAACTGGGCTGAAGGGCTGGTCTATGGGGTTGTATTGAATCAGCAGCTGACAGGTTTTGAAGAATAATAGCAGTATGGACAGCAGCAGTAGTGTCATCAGTATCGACCATAACTGATCTTTTTTTTTTTTTAAAAGTCTTCCTCTTTAAGCTGAAAAACAGCAACTAAACTAAAAAACAAATGATATCATATCTACTTTCCACAAGTTTTTTTGGTCCTCTTCAGAAAACCACATGCATTTATGTTTAGCTTGAAGATTTTAGGGACATTTGCAACCACAACATCAAGGACTGCCACTTTATAGTCTCATTGGATCATCAATGTTTTCATGCAGAGTGATACAGGCATCATCCCCAGTCTAATATAATCATAGCCTGACCAAAATCCCTCGGTGAATAAGTGCAATGGTTCTTTTAGACAAACTCAACTGCGCATGTCCAGACTACTAGCTGTAGCAACAAATAATGGCACAAATGACAAGCCAACTCATGTTCTAAGTAATCACTCTAGAATTTTCCATTTATTCCTCGATGGAGGGATGTCACTAACTCAGAAAAAAGAAGGAACAGACCTTTAGTAAATAAGAGGTCTATGTGTACTAAGAAAGTTCAAGATGCTCAGTATTACCAGATTCAACATAATTGCCAACCCATCAGCACGTTAAGATTGGACATAAAATGAATGTTTATATTTGGAATAACAGATTTTGACTACGAATACATATATATTCAGAGACTTGTGTATGTATTATATAAATATTGTTCTGGTAGTGTGGTGAATACCAGGAAAGAAACAGCCACAGTTTCTTTAAGAGATCAAATTTGCAGTGGGAACCCGGACAAATTACAGTATGGATTAACATAGTTACCTCTATAGTTGGAGGGACAAGAGGTCTCTTTCCTTTCAGCTCTCTTGTAAGAAATTCAAGTTTTTTTTCTTCATCCCACTCACTATAGGTGCCCATATCTAGATATCTAGTAATTGCATCAAGTGTGTCTGAATGTCTACCAGATTCCTGGTACATTACAAAAACTATTAAAATAAAGTATTAATAGCATCATTGCCAACTACCTGAATGGAGAACTACCTGACGAAGGTCAAGCTTCATTAAAACCATGCCAAAGGTAGCAACACGCCTGATTAGGTCAGCTAGCCGACCATCAGCCAGGATTCCAGAACCACAAGATTGCTGCAAAAATTACAGTTTCAGTTAATGTATGAAAAAACTTACTAGTTAAACATCTAATTCCTTTAATTCCTTTATTTTGCTTTATAATTTTAGGGGAGATTAATCACAAAGTAAAAGAACTAGAAAGTTAAATACCAGTGAATCATAGCACAATAGCAATGGCTCAAGGAGTTGATCTGATGTTTCATAATAGTCCGAAGGATCATGTTCACAAGGAAGCTCTTCAAGAAGGAGTTCCAGCCGCTTCTGTGTCTTCAGAAGCTGAACTTAAAGACACAAATCTTTGACTTTATAAGATAATAACAGGAAACAAAAAAAAAAGATAAGTCAAAAGATGAGAACTGAGTTAGAAATCATATTGACAGCTTCAACTCGTCCTAGCTCGTAGATATAGATTCTTATGTTCCAATTCATCCCGACATTGCAATAATGTTATCCTTGAGGAGCAAAAATTACAAGTGTGTTTGAAATTTTAAACAACTTCGGTGTGAATAGATTCTATAATAACATAATCAGTGTTTGCATGGAAAATTACAACTGTTTCACCACCATGGATACCTATGAGGATTAACTCAAGGCATGAAAACAAGGTTTATAACAGAGAAGGAAAAACACAAATATGTTGTTCAATGTCAATATCAAGTCAGAACACGAAAAGAAGTAGATTATCTCGTGGGGTCCTCAATTGCCTAATTTATTAGTCAACATATAGACTAATATCCACCAAGCTACTACCACGGAGTCATGCATGATTATGGGGAGCAAATATGTTTCCAGGCATCAGAATCAGGAATGTCAATATCTAGGGATTTGTGAACTTGGCGTTCCTAACTCGCCTTCATTTTGATGAGAAACAATCCATCAAATATTATACAGAGAAGTCTAAATGGAAAATTTAGCTCAAATTTGAAGTACTTTGAAACAAAATAGTATCTTTGTTTATTTTGCAAAGCATATCCTCAACGCCAATCTGAGACATGCATATTCATTATTTTCTGTAGTTCCAAGTGGTGTTCTATGGTAAATTCTCCTTTACTTCGCCACCACAAACTTTGCAGAGTACAATAGTTATGTAATTGTATAAATGCATGATATGGGAGGTATTTTACTGCCTCAAAACTGAACATTTTCTCAAATAAACTGAGTCCATCTTATATAGCCGGGAATAGCAACTGAAGACTGTATTCTGATAAAATATTCACTATCTATGCAAGATTGCAATGAGAAAACAGTACCTTTTCTTTCACATTCCCCAGAACAACTCTATAAGGAGCTATTCCAGGTTTTTGAGAAGAGCTTGGTTCAAGAAGCTTCTGGAAACTGGTCCGTCCTATCTGAGATTCGGCAAATAGCTTCCTCTGAGCTAAAAGTTGACTAGAGCTAAATGAAGCAGATCTTGGTGTCGTCGGAGCATTGCCCGAATTCGATGCATTTCCATTTCCAGATGTTTTAATAGAAAGTTTGCTACCATTGTTAGGAGATTCTTCTGCTTTTGAAAAAGCCTTACCATCCTGTCAGGAGGGAGAGAGAGAGACTTTAAGGAGGATAGTTCTACACGCAAATAGATGTTCTAAAATTAAACTCCACCTGACGATTCAATGGCATGAACTCTGTCCCAGGAACATCTAGTCGAGGATAGCGAGATTCCACATCATTGCATTCTGCAAAAGACAGAAGTTTCTAACAATTATGTTAATATCTCATTTTAATAAATATGTGAACAAAATGCTTGTTTAAACATTCAACATAACTAGTAGAGTAATGCTAAGCAGAATCGGTCTTCCCCTCCTTAATAGGAGTTTCTGTTACTTTACTTCAAGTTGTTTAGACATTTGTATATTCAAATATTTGGCAGTTATAGATGTCTCAAGCCGTTAAGATTATATAGCTATAAATTGATTTTATGTGCCTTATATGATACAATCAAACCGACAACTAAATTGAGTCATGGACTTCAAAACAATTCTATTTTTACAACTTGTGGATGGTATCAGAGCATCTATTTTTGGCTTATCCGCTTTTCTATCGATTCTATGGCTGACTCGTCGTCTTCGTCATCCACTACTTCTCTTCCGCTAGATACAATGGTGCATATGCTCACCATTAAATTGAACTCTTCCAACTATCTCTTATGGAAAAGTCATTTCAACCTTTACTCATCAGTCAAAACTTATTTGGCTATCCGCATGGCACTGTTCCTGCTCCATCATCTACTGTTCAAGTCACCAATGGACAGGACATTCTGCATCCAGCCTACGCTACTTGGTGTATAACCTATGATGCTCGAACTCAGGTAGGGTATTGGGTACGGGTATATATCCAAGTATCGGATCTTTTATTTTATAAAGTGTAGGATATGGGGACATGACTAAAAAGAGTCCAAATTTCGAACACGAGTACGTGGGTGTATCTTTCAAACTTTAATTTTTTTACTAACCCAAGATGTCATAAAAGACGAATAAAATAAGATTTTGAGGCTTAGTTTTCAATTACTAGAAGTTAATTACTAAATATTATATAAAATAGAAAATGAGGGACTTAATTGCAATTTGAACTTAGTGGAGCACTAACTCATTTTCATTTTATACAAACGAAACCCTAAATCACCGATACAGAGAGGAAAAGAAGAAAAAAAAAAAAGGAAAGAAATAAGAAGAGAAAACCGAGAGCCGTTGCCTTTCTCAACCCTCTTGCCAGCAACACTAGGTTTACAAAGAGCAAAAAGGGGAGAGAAGAAAAAAGAAAGGAAAAGGAAAAAAAAAAAAAAAAGAAAGAAAGAAGAAGCAAAGGAGTCGTGTCCAGTTAAAACTTGAAGGATTCGATACATATCCCATATCCATACACATGTAGTGTCGTGTCGACACGGATATTCTCGACCATTTCAAAGAGTCTAAACATTAGAACGTATAACAGATGCTTCCAAGCTTGGTTTACTCCTCTCTCACTGAAGAGGCCACGAGTGAAGTGCTTGGAATTCCCGCTACTTGGGGCTGGGCTTGGTTTGCCTTGGAAGCATCTTTCTCTTGCAAATCAAAGACCAAAGAACTTTAGCTGAAAGATGAGCTGCAGCTTATGCAACGTAGCTCCCTTTATGTTGAAAAATTTTCTTGAAAATTCAAAGGATTGCGTGATCAACTTGCTACTATTGATCGTCCTATTGATGCCACTGATAAGATTCAATGGTACATATGGGGTCTTGGTGCAGAATTTACTAAACTCTCTACCACCATAATGTCACAAACTCCCCTACCAACCTTCGTGGATCTTGTGTCCAAGGCGATCAGTTATTAACTATCTTCACGGCCTATTCATTCTACGTTCACAGCGCAGAAGGGTAACAATACTCAAAGCCGCATGGGTAACAAAAAGGGTGGAGGTTCAAAGAAAAACTCCTCTAACATTTCTCCATCCCTCTCACGTGTATCTACTTCTATTTGTCAATTGAAGCAAAAGGAGGGTCACGCAGCTCGACGTTGCTTGACTTATCTTAAAATGAAGAAGAAACAAGCTACAAATATTTCTAAGGCCTTTGTTGCTTGCTCAGAATCAGATAATACCAACCCTGAGTGGTATCCTGATTCAAAGGCCACATCATACATGACACATGATGTTGATGGTCTAAATAAATTTCTCCCTACTCTGGTAATAATCTTGTTTTTGTTGGAAATGGTCAGTCAATACCAATTACATCAATACCAATTACACATACTGGTTCTCTTTGCACTCGTGTTCCACCTAGTTCCTTATCATTGTCAAATATCCTTGTTGTCCCTGGCTTACCTAAAAATTTTATTTCAATAAGTAACTCGTGTGAGACTAATTGCACTATTACTTTTTTGTTCTTTTGGTTTTTCCATACAGAATCCGACAATACAGGCAATACTGGGAATCGAAAAATGTGAGAATGGGTTATACGTGTTAGAATGGTATCACAAGGCTTTAGTTTCCATCGTCCAATCCAATAAAAATCGAGCTCCTTCACATTTATGGCATGCTCGTTTAGGTCATCCCCATGTTTGTGTTATTGAGTCTCTTTCTCATCATGGTTTCATTTCCTGTAATGATAAAATTAAAGACAATGTTCTAGAATTATGCATTGGTTGTAGGCTTGGTAAAAACCATCGTTTTCCATTTGACAATAATTATAAACGTTGTTCTTTGCCTTTAGATCGTATTCATTGCGATCCATGGGGACCTTCCCCAATTTTATCAAAATCAAGATACCGTTACTATGTTGTTTTTAATTGATGACTACTCTAGATTTAGTTGGATTTATCCTCTGAAATTAAAATATGACTTCTATTATGTTTTCATTGCTTTCCAAAAATTTGTTGAGAGTCAGTTTGCTCGACCTATTAAATCATTTCAATGTGATGGCGGCACATAATTCACCAATAATAGATTTTGATCCCATTTGACCAATTGTGGTATTGCTATTCATATTGCTTGTCCTTATACTCTTAGTCAAAATGGTGTAGCTGAACTTAAGCACCGTTACGTTACTAAAACAGGTTTAAACCTTTTGTTTCATTATATTGTTCCTCTCTTAGGTCAAGGCTTTTTCTAGAGCTTGTTATCTCATTAACCGGATCCCCTCACAAGCTCTTGATGGCGAAACACCGTATGAAGTCCTTTTTGGTAAATCACCTTCCTACTCTACTCTCGTACTTTTGGAAGTCTTTGTTTCCCATATTTGCGAGATTCATTCCTCATAAGTTGTCTCGACAATCTGCAACTTGTATTTTCCTTGGATATAACCATATTCACAAAGGTTTTCGACGCCTAGATTGTAGGACAAATCGTGCATATGTCCCGTCATGATCAATTTCATAAACATACTTTTCCATTTGCTGGTACCTTTAAAGCAAAGGAACTCATGTCTTCTAATTTTATTAATTTTTTAGAATTTTCTGACATTTTTACTAATCAACCACATAAGCCTTCTATGGTACATCACGTGTGCAAGAAGCATGTCTTAAATGCAATGATCCATCACTTTCTTTTCTCCCACAACCAAATGCTTTCGTTATTTCCATGCCTTTTCGAAAATCCAATTCCACGAATACAAACTAAAACATCTCCACCTATGGCTGGTTCAATTCCATCATCTCAGGTGCATAGATTGGATTTTGAGGACACATTTAGTCTAGTGGTTCGCCCGCTACAATTCGGTTCATCCTCTCTTTAGTAGCTATTTCAGGTTGGCGTTTGCATTAGCTTGATGTTAAAAAGCCTTTCTACATGGACACTTGACAAAGAGTTTATATGGAGCAACCGCCTGGCTATATTGATTCTGTTCAACCAATACACGTTTACAAATTAAAATGTGCATTGTATGACTTGAAACAAGCTCCACACGCTTGGTTTCAACGTTTTAGCCAATTTCTCTTCATGATTTGTTTTCATTCTAGCCAAGCAGATTCCTTCTTTGTTCTACACTATGACATTGGCACTATTTTCTCGGTGTTTTAGTCCAAATGATGAGCATCTTTTTAAGTCCAGCAAAGTATGCACTTGATCTTCTTGAGTGGGCAGATATGACATATTGTAAATCCATATCTTCTCCATTTATTGTTGGTCATCACCTCACTGCTAATGGAGAGTTATTTTCTGATCCCACTCATTTTCGATGCTTAGCAAGAGCTTTGCAATATCTGACTATCACATGACCTGACTTGTCTTATAGTGTGAATTCCAATTGCCAATTTATGCATGCGCCTACAGTAGAACATTTCAAATCCATAAAACGTATTTTGCGCTACGTTAAGGGTACATTTCATTAAGGACTTCAACTTTTTGGTGCATCTTCTGCTACACTTACAGCCTACTCGGATGCTGATTAGGCTGGTTATCCTAACACTCAAAAATTTACTACAGCCTATGCTATATTTTTTGGTGACAACTTGATATCTTGGTGTTAAAAGAAACAAATAACTGTCTAGATCGAGCACCGAAGCTGAATATCACTCTCTCGCATATGCTATGGCTGAAGTTGCTTGGATTGTTCAATTGTTACGTGATCTTCACATTCTTCTGATTGCACCTTGTATCTTATGTGATAACAAAAGCGCTCTTTTTATGGCTCATAATCTGGTCACTCGCCCACTATCCAAAAATATTGCCATAGATTATCACTTCGTGCGTAAGTTAGTATCTCAAAACAAACTAACAATGCAGTTTGTTCCCTCCGAATTACAACTTGCCGATATATTTACCAAGGGTGTCTGAAAGCCTTTATTTCTTTTGTTCCGCAATAAGTCAGCGTGATTCCACTAGCCATGCTCACCTTGGGGGGTGTAGCAAAATCGGGCCTTCCCCTCCTTAATAGGAGGTTCTGTTACTTCATGTTGTTTAGATGTTTGTGTATTCAAATATTTGGTAGTTATACATATCTCGAGCTGTTAAGATTATATAGCTGTAAACTGATTTTATGTTGCCTATACAATACAATCAAACCAATGACTAAATTGAGTCGTTGACCTCAAAACAATTCTGGTTTTACAACATGTTCAAGTAATAAACACACAATCTATCGCAATAAAAAATATAAATAAATATCAAACTATTCAACGTGGTATCACAGCAAAACATAGCATAGCAGAGCAGAGCACGCAATGGTCCTAAGTTCAAGTCTCATTACCACTTATTTATAAAGCCTTCGACTAAATGAATTCAGCACGTACGTGAGTGGCATGTTGAAGATATATAAAGATAAATAAGTTCTTCCCAATCCAATAGTTGAAGATTTTATCTGAGGTGGTTCAACATGTAAAATCTTGGATAATATTTGTCACAATTGGTATTGGTAATTGTGCCACAAGTTAATATCTAGAGCTACCAGACTAGTTAAACAATTAGGCTCTGATTCTCATTTTTTTTTCAAACTCATTTTCAACCACACATTCTCAAAATAAAATATTTTGCACATGAATCCAAAACTTTCTCTTACTTTTTAACAAATCATTTTTCAACAATTTACTATTATAAAACTCATTTTAATGATATATCAAACAGGGGTTTAGTGTTAATAAGAGGAGCCAGAAAATCTTAGGAAAATCCTACCACCCCCGTCGTGTGCAACAAAAATAGAAAAATGGGTTAAAATTAGGGACTGAAACTGACAAAATGATGCAGAAAATATCCTAAACTAATTAGCATAATGGATTAGGTCACCTTCCAAGTACATGGAACCTTAATATTTTCCAAACACAAGTATTATTCTATACAATGAGACGTCCAATTATACCACCATAGCAATCTATAGTCTTTGAGTCGGATATGAGCATCGATCTCAGTGAAAGAATCAATTCGGCATCTTGAAAGAATGGACATGAAAACAGTTTATCATGCAAAATTTAGAAGGTAAAGGATAACATTTGAAGAGATTTTAACATTGAAAAAAAAAAGGGAAAGCACCACAACTTTTTGGACACCTAGTTGTTTGTTGGAATATCAGAGAAACCACTCAAAACAATCAGATGAGGAATCAATTACATGGTGGTGAAAGATAAGCCATAACCGATTACATTTTACAATTATAAATGGACAATCAAGAGCATCCAGAACCCACCCCAAAAAAAAATTAGAGAAGCATGATTTGAAAGATGGTAAATTCAAGGAAAAAATATGGTGATTCTGGAAGACAATAGTGAAATGACATGCATGTGGCTCTTTGTAACAGCTTAAACTTTTAAATCAAGAGGTTTGACATGATATCAAAAAGCAGGCAAAGGTCTTGGGTTCAAGACTGTCGTCACCTATTTAAATGAAATTGTGCACGTGGATGGGAAAAAATGAACCCTTCCTACACGTGAATGGACATGTTGAAGATGATATTTAAATGTTACACATGAGGCTCTATCTAATAACTTAAGCTTTAGATAAAATGGTTCGACCATGATGAATGTAAAAATCATCATGACAATAGAGCAATACAAAGTTGGAGTAAGTTTGGCTAGGCATTTGTACTGTAGGTGGAAAAATAAAATGAATTCGTTACCTTTGTTATTGAGAACATTGATAAAGTAAGGACCAATAGCCTCAATAGACGCATGACAAATATGGACACAAAGCAACCAAGAACAAGAGTATAACCTGTGCAAGAAGGTAGATAAGCTCCAGTTGGAAGCTGTGTTGGAAGGGGTGGAGCATGTTGACTGTGGTGCTTTGAGTGATTCCAATTTGATGGTGCATTCCAATTCTCATGTCGATCCTCAGATGATTTTTCTGAAAGATGTTTTGAGCCACCATCAAGTGCAGAGTTAGCTCACCAGTTCATCTAGAGTAATGTATTCGTAATGGTACATCCAAAAACAGTTCAAAACGCAGAGCATCAACGCCATTTACCATGATTGACAGAACTTCAAATAAAGAACATCTCAAAAATCCGAACTTGGAATAGGACAGTACTGTAGCGGAATATTTTACAAGGGATGTCGCTAAAATAGCAGCACCAACTCATGAAGACTTGAAATGTCGAAATATTACGTCATGGGAAACCATCTTAAGCCAAAAAAAGACATGTAATCGTAGAAAAATATCATAATCATCTACCGATGCTAATTTTATTCTCTTATTCAGTTAGTTGGAATGCAGAACAGAAATTTCTTAAGATTTGACTTCTAAGCCCCCGCTTGGCCCCATTATTTGATGTTATAATTTTTGGAATATGTGGTTGAAAAAGAAGGAAAAGTTTTTGGTTTATGTGCAATATTATTTTATTGGAGAATGTGTGGTTAAAAAGAAGAGGGAAAAAATGTATTATAAATTTAATGAGGGCCAAACGGAGGCTAAATCTGGCTTCTCATGCTCAAAAATGAATTTGTACCATAGAATCCTTCCCTACATGCTAAATGTCAAATGCAAGCTGTAACTCTTAGCTACAAAACTCACTCAAGATATTTAAAACATGCTAAAACAAGGGGTCATAGATTTCACCCAACACCCTAAAACAAAATTAAGCATTAGATGCACGTGAAATTTTAGTAGTAACAACAGGCACAAAAAGTATTTAGTAGAGTAACTACGAATAATGGATTCAGAACCTTTTTCTAGAATTTGATGTGCCAGCCTTGATAATTGAACACTGCACTGGTTCATAGAAAGCTCAAATCTGAGGCTATCAACTTCACGTATATAGAGATCAATGGCCATCCATCTGGATAAAAGAGATACATCCTTTGTGACCTGAAACAAGAAAATGAAATAAGTTTCAATGAAACTATAATGGAGCAAAAGTTGGTCTAATCTAAATATGAACCCTCTGTTCTTGAGACTAAATAGCTCAAAACTAACCCCGACAGAACCCTTTTTGAGAAGTACAATAATATCCTCAAATCCTAATTATTTGGTTATAGCTATTAGGTTTAAATTAAATTACCTTACAGCACGAACGGAACTGCACGTTTTATGAATATCTACTAAGAAAGCCTTTGGAAAAGGACCGGAAAAACGTACTTCAACAATGCCTCTCTCAGTAGGCAGGAACAAATATTGTTTTAAAAAATATGGCACGTTCAATAAATTCATTAAAGAGTATGCATAGAAATAATTACTTAAGCAGAATTCTCTCTTTCCAGAGTCCAGAACATCAATGCTAATAATTTTCCAGAATTTCTGCAATTAACTTCTAATTTTATTCTTTACTAATAATAAAAATACTTTAAAAATGACAAAATAGTGCTTTATTTACTACCAAAAGTATCTTTCTGCTTCAACAAACTATACACCCACCTAATGTCTTCAAACAAGAGTTTGCAAAATTATTTTACACAATAAATAGCATAAAAACATCACCTTTGCTGTCACATTTGGATTTCCATCTCGATCACCTCCCATCCAAGATCCAAATTTTATCGGTGTACATGTCAAGGGAAGTGGCTTTCCAGTGTGCTGAGAAAAAAAGCATTGAAAAATCATTTTCAGAGAGGAAAATGGCGTAGCATTTAACAGATTTGTACATTACAGAACAATGACAACCTTTTTTAAAGCATTGCTAACACGGCGCAAATAATGAGGTACAGCGCGCCAAAGTGATTGCTCCACAATATTTAACCCTGAAAAAGAAAACAGAAAAAATTGTTCTTTTAGCAGTGAAAAGAGCAATAGCTTGATCATTTGCAAGTTAGATTTTTACCAGCCCTGGCTTCATCAACTGGAGTAGGTTTGTGGCGCCTTAGCTCATCTGTTTGCCATATTGAAGTGATTTCTCTAACCTACAAATTCAGAAAGCCTCATGGACCCCATAAATTTTCAACTATTATTGTTGACCTTCTTGTAGTTTAGAGAGAAGCACCTACCAAATCTTCTATCAGCATCTCTCTGTCTTCATGCCCAAGATCAGGCCGATCATTATATTCTAAAAGATGCTGCAAAATAATAAAGATACAATATTAAGATCAAAGTTAAAGAAAATCGCATGCTTAACATGTTAAAATCAACAGACTAAGTAACATGCTAAAGAAAATGTACCGCAATTCTTATGTGCTTATATTGTAAGGTACGTCTATTTATTTGAGTGGGATGAGCTGTGAGGACAATCTCAACCTCCTAGCAGCAAAAATGAACCAATATAGCTGGCAGATATTAGTATATTAAACAGCTCTTTGATTAATAAAACTTAATATCAAAGGGATAATAACAATAGACCTGCTTGCAAACAGTGTTGTAAAGCTCATCTGGAGAAACGCCACTCTGCACGAGCAGATTGAAAGTATCATCGCAAGATTTTGACCATTTTGCTGCACTCCGAGCCTTAGTTACTCTGCATGATTGGACGTTAGTTTTCAAGAGAGGTTCAGAAAACACAAGATCTTAATCTTAATCAACCATTATAGTCATGATATATGAATTAAAGCAATATTTGTGACCGACAAAATTAAGATTAGCAGTGAGCCAGGGCATACTAGCTACATTTAGAATACGGGAAAAGATGGAAAGGTGAGTAATTGGAAACTCAAGACAGTAATCCATGCCAGGAAATCAATGAGCTGTATATAAGCCACAGATAAAATGGATAAGCCTGGAAATAATGGATTCCGATCCATAAATGTCAGTTTCCATTTCACAAGATCTTGAAGCATTTTCGAACGACGCACTATCTGTTAGTATTGACACAAGAATCGCTCTTCATTCGTAATTTCGGTTTTCTATCCAAGGTAAGATCAGATAGGGATCATGGGATCCATTTCTGAGTAGACGCAGGCCTTAATTCGCCTCCTGTTATTCTTTCAATATGGGACATAATAGCGATCATTTTGTATAGTTAATAACTTTTTAAGTTCAGAAACGGAATTATTTGCCAATCCAGATCTTCTAAATACCAGATAACTATTAGAACTTATAGCTCTATAAAATGAATGTTGTTTCTGAAAATATGCTGACCAATATAAGTAAAAATATTGTAACTATATCCAACAAGGACAACTGATTTCAATATACCTATGATGAGTTTCTGCAATCCCCATTAAATTTAGATAATGACTGAATGCACGTGCAAGTGATAAAGCTTCCTCTAGTGACATTTTCGACAACTCTGTGGCCAGTTGCTTTTCAAGCAGCTCTGCTGTGTCCTCAATTGTTGCCATCCTCATGTTACATGCACTCTGGAACCAAATTTTGTTCATTCATTAGTTGTAGTATTCATGCAAACACCAAATTGTAAGTTTTATGTTCTAAAAACAGTGTGTCATACACAATCATGTAATCTACTTGTAATACTTTGCACTGCAAAAACGTGCACAAAAGTACATGACAGTGACAGAAAGTAATCCCATTTATTTATAGATATGCAAGTATATAGAGCTAGTTATATTATGACAACAGACAAGATTTAAACGAATTTGTGTGGCGTTGATTAACATGGTATCAAAACTAGATATATTTGGGTCAAGTCTCACCCCCACCGAGACAAAAAATGGATCTAGTCTGCACGTGAGTATGCAAGCTGAAGACAAGATTGTGGCCCCTCTACCAGCTTGAACTTTTAGACAAGTCAGTTAACAATGCATAACCAAAAAAGATGAGATGGCTAACAATGCACAATCCAAGAAAAGGAAGTACGGTGTGATAGACCCATATAACGTAAGAATGTTCTCTGAATTTTGCGGATATGCAGATATTTATATCAGTACATGAAATCATAGCCCAATATAAGAGTCATTCAACAGCACAGAATATAACCACAGATGAAATCTGACATCAGTCCTTTGATAAAAATGTAATATGCATGTAGCTGAGAAAACCCGTTAAAGAGATCAAAACAAAACCATCTCATCGCCCAAAAAACCAAGAAGACCCAGAAATAGAAATCATTAATTCAAAAAATGAAAGAAAAAAAAACAGAGAACATCTGAAAAGCAGAAAACAGATAAATCGAAAATGGTGTTCATATAAGAGGAAGAATTCGAAGGGACCTGAGCAAGAACTTTGGTCTTTTCAACTTTTTCCATGAAATGGGTCCCAACTTCTCTTTGAAGCACGTCTTTGAGGAGGCTTTCGAGAAGCCTACAGTCATCATCAAAGCTCTGAAACGAAATCTCCTCTGCTATATCATCTGTTATGTCCGTCATTGTTCCTCTCTAATCTAAATTCAAACTCGTCCGTGTATATGTATTTTGCAGGGTTTGAATGTTGGAAATGGGAGTGTTTCGGTGAAGAAGAAGGAGGAGAGTGTTGGCAGTGTGGGGATGTGATATTTTGGCGTGTAGAGGATGAAGGAGACTTGTGACAGGTGGTGAGTTCAGCGGATTTAGTGGCACCATTCTATAGGATTTGTACAACAAACAGAAAAGTACTTTCCCTCAAATTATTTTTATTTTTATTTCAAACAAATCAAAATGCCCCCAAAACCTATTAAATTAATTATAGGGATAATTGCAGCAGCGGTACCAAATCTTTTTAGTAGCAGATTTTGTCCAAACTTTTCATTTGTGTCACACATGATACCAAACATTTCATTTTTGCCACCAACGGTACCAAACCTTTCAAAATGTCCGCAACTGAAATTCAAATGAATGGTTTCTGTTAGTTTGACCGTTAATTGACCAAATAATTGACTTTGACAATAATGTTAACTGATTTTAAAAGATTAAAATAGTAATTTTACATTTTTAATAATAAAATAACAAAAATCAAATAATTAAAATTAAAAACTCATTCCACATTCTTCTTCTCAATCCACCCCCACCCCAAATCTGCAAATATAGGAAATCAACATCTCCTAATCCTCGAATTCATGGCATCAAAAACCTGTTGCCAAACTATGTAGATCTACGTAAGCCGGATTAGAGATTTGGACCTTAACAACCGATCAGAATTGAAGCTCCTCAATAAAAATATGGATTTCCTGCTGAAATGGTCCGCCAAATAGACTATCTTGACCAAAGAAGAGAAGAAGAGATAAGAGATTGAAAAAGGCTTAGAGATTTTCTGTATGACGTCTAAGCAAGTTTTTGGTAAAGTTCACTTCTTGCTGCTAATTTGCGGGTGCGCTTGTGGCGATCGCTGCAACTTGTGTGTGGGTGGATTGCGATCGTCGACACGGTGGATGTGGGTGGATTTTGGTTCATTTGGTTGGGGTTGGATGAGAGAAGGTAGGGATAAGTGTGGGGGTGGGAAGAAGATGAACCGTTTTAAATGAAGTTTTGGATTTCTGATTACATGGTCAATCAAGATGAAGTTTTGGGCTAAATGCACAGGCAGAGTTCCTTCGAGCCACTGTCATTGCAGCAGAGCGCACATTCGATTTTGGGGACTCCATTCCCGAGCTTGTTGAAGCGTTCTCGAAATTCCAAACCTAGATTTGCAGATTTTGGGTAGGGGCGGGTGGAGAAGAAGAAAGTGGAATGAATTTTTAATTTTAATTATTTGATTTTGGTTATTTTATTATTAAAAAATGTAAAATTACTATTTTAACATTTTAAAATCAGTCCACATTATTGTCAAAGTCAATTATTTGGTCAACTAATAGTCAAACTAATAGAAACCATCCATTTGGACTTCAGTTGCGGACATTTTGAAAGGTTTGGTACCGTTGGTGGCAAAAATAAAAAGTTTGGTATCATGGGTGGCACAAATGAAAGGCTTGGACAAAATCTGCTACTGAATGAAATATTTGGTACCGCTGCTACAATTATCTCTTAATTATAAATTATGAGAAGATTAACGTTATATGTTATGGCAATGAATATTGTATGTGAAAGATATGTCTCTTGTATACATGAAGATCAAATTATATACTTAGACTTGATAGAAAAAGAATCCTATAAAGAAATTATTAGTAAAAATTTTCAACAAACTCATTTAGAATAAATAATATGAGTAAAATGACTTCATAGAGAAAATTTAGGAGATAAAATATTAATATATTTATACGATAGCAGGTTCACAATATAGAACAAAGGCTACTAGGAAATATAGAATTAGACATGAATAATAAAGATTGAATATTATATTTTACACCAGATTATTTAATAAAGACTAAAAGTTTTCATAAAGACATTAAAATAGGAATAAAAAGCAAAGGATATCAGATGAAAAGATATGAAGATAATTTTTTAATTTGTATAGGATTTATAGGAAGATTTAGTGAAAATAGTACTACTAATTATAGATTAGAAAATAACCAAATAATTACTTTACTATGACAAAAAGGCATAAAAACTATCACAGCAAAGAAATTCTCCTCAGAAACAAATGCTAGATTAGATTGGAATCTAAGAAACTTCTTAGAATGACCTATATTAGTACCAAAAAATAATATCATGTACAAAAATAGCAATGGGACTTTAAGTATTAGGTTCAAAAATTATAACTACTAAGCAGAACAGACAAAGCATAATGAAGAAGAAAATGAAGAACAATGCTGATATTTTGAAATAGAAAATTGTGAGAGTGAAGAAGAAATCAATGCATTAGATGAGTAAAGTGAAGACGATGAAAGAAAGCAATGAAGGTAATAAAAGGGCTAAGATGGAAACTGACGAACAATTTGGACCAAAAAAAAAGAACCTATAAATACAGAATACGATATAAGAGGAAAGTATCATTTTTCCCCTGTAAATTTATATGAGTGGAAAGACAAAAATTACAAAAGTCTAGGAAGAATGATGCAATTTACCAGTATCAAGCAATAAATGATTAATTTTAGAATTAAATGTTGTAAACATCAAGACATACCTAGTACTATAACCAAGTGGAAAAATTCTATAATTATAGCATATAATAGTGTACCTATACAAATGATTGTAGAAGAAATGTAGGCTTATTTAGAGACTTACTTAGGAAATACAGCATTAAATACATACGTTAGAGCTAAAAGACTAAAATCAGATAAAATTAGATTAAGAATGGCCAGAAGAGACAACCCTATAAATTTTTCAAGTTTTATTAGAGAAATAATTATAAGATCTGACACTAGTAGAGATAGCACTTATGAACAAAATAGAGTCTTAGAAGTATTAGTAATATGAAGTACATTCAATCATTTTTACTAGATTTTGAAATATTTGTAAGCACAACATGATTAACATTAGATATATAACTATACTTGAAAGATTATATAGAAAGATACCACCGCCATGGAATGATAAAATTAAAAAGGAATCAAGACCGGTAAGAGATTTGACTATTAGCGTCACTATAAAAATTATAACTGAAAAATTAAAAGAATACTGTATAGAAAAAGTAGCTAGAAAACAAATAAAGAAATTAAATTATGTTTTTGCTCATATTTGTATACACCACGGACATATGATTATAGAAAGAAGAAATATTTACATAAAAAACATAAAAGACAATATCAAGAAAGAAAAAGATATAATATTAGACCAAGTCGGACATATTATAAAAATAAAAGACCTAAGTATAATAGATATGTTAAAAAGCCAAAAAAATAAAAAGGATTGTAAATGTTATATTTGTGGAGACCTAGACATTTTGCTTATATTTGTGGAGACCCAAGACATTTTGCTAACAAGTGCCCCAATAAAAATAAAAGTAAGGAGAATATGGCTAGATCTATGATAATTAAAGAAATACAGTGTAACATTATAAAATTATCTGATCAGGAATCTTGTAGTTAGTATATAGTATATACACAGACAAATAATTAGACAACTTGGAAATAAGCAGTTCTGAATATAGTTATAGCAGTGTAGAAGGCAGCTATAGTAGCGTAGAAGAATTAGATTTTTCAATTCTCAATATAAAAATGATGAATGTAGAGCAAGAATGTGGACATGAATGGATAAAAGGACAATGATCGATGATGGATAAGTGTAAAACATGTAAAATATACCTAGGACATCGAAATAGAAATCAATGTAAAAACTGCCTAGAAATCCAATGTATTAGTTGTTTAGGAACTAAAGAAGAAGTTTATAACAATTCTAAAGATTTCATGGAAGTATAGAAAGATTAGAAGATAGGATAAAAATTACAAATAACACAATAGATAAAGTATATGAAACATTAGGTGAAATACAATGCATAATTAGAAATTTAGAAAAACAGCATATAGATAGTTACACAGAAGCTAATTATTTAGAAACGGAAAATCAAGAAGAAATAATTTGTCAAATATTTAGCATAAAACAAATCAAAAGTATTAAAATACCCATAAAATTACAAATAAATAAAATGATAAAACTAAATTTAATAACCTTAATGGATACATAATGTACATTTAATATAATTAGAAAAGATTTTGTTCCAGAAGATTGGACAAAAATTAGAATATGAGATGAGAGGAAGTCAAATGGATGGAAATAAGATGAGATTTCAAGAAAGACTTTTTGATTATTGTAAGATTAAATTTCAAGAAAAACTGTATAACTTAACAACCACACTAATTAGTGAATTAATCAAATATGAATTTGTTTTAGGAATAATTTTTTTGCTAAGTAGAAATGGGAGTTTAACGATTACTCCTAATGTAATAATTTTTGGAAAAGATATTTCTAACATTAATACAGTAGATTCATCAGAGTTGCAAGCAAAGTGTGTTGGACCCTTACCAAAATCAGAACCAGAAACTTTAGACAATTACAATAATAATCTAGAAAGTATACAATATCTAGAGCATTTATCCTTAGAAACATTAAAAACTGATTTCATACCAAGAACCAAAGAATTAATAATTTTTAATAAAACATCATCTAAGGTAGATAGTGTAGACAGAATTGTAGAATTAGCCGAAAAAAATCAAATAATAGGAGAAGACCTATAAAACATTGGGACAAAAATAAAATAGAAGCTAGATTAGAAATCATAAACGAAAATCTAAAAATTAGAACAGCAAAAATCAAACACACGAATCAAAACAGAGAAGATTTTAATATACATATTAAAGAATTATTAGATTTAAAAGTAATAAGACCCCTAGTAGACCACATAGATTAAAAGCTTTTATGGTTACAAATCATAGTAAAATCAAAATGGGAAAGATAAGAATGATCATAAACTACAAAAGACTAAATGATAATACTATAGAAGACGGATATAAAATACCAAATAAAGACATGTTAATAAATAAAGTACAACATAACAAAATATTTTTAAAATTTGATTG